ATTATTGACATTTTTAAAGATATAAGCTTGATCTGATGTTACACTCGTCAAGACCTTTCATTTGAGTACCCACATTAATTTTTCATATATTTTATATATTTATATTATATATTATATATATGTATAGATGAAAAATATATCAAAATTTGATGTGGGTACTCAAATGAAAGGTCTCGATGAGTGTAATGTCAGGATGAGCTTATAACTGGTATTAATTTAATTTTAAAATAAATCCAAAAAATTATTAATAGTCGATTAATAATTTCAGTATCATTATGAAGAGTACCATTGCCAAGTTGCCAATCCACTTCCATGGAGTGTCCTTTAGAAAAATTGATAATATCCCGAGCATTTGAGTCGTTCCAACTTCCATCAGGATTTCTGATCAGAGCGTTGAGATCAAACATCATCCTCAGCTGTGCTTTTTTAGTGAACTGATACAAAGCGAGGTAATCGTCAGCAGCCAGAGTGAAGTTACTTATATTCTGACCGTCAACAGGACTCGTCGCTTTTTCAAAGGGCACATTTTTGTCGAAAAAGAGACAATCTGCGGATGTTCCACCCACTCTCACAAAAGCAGGACTCAAATAACGAGCTAAATTTATAAACTTATCTTTTTTGACCGGAAAAACATTCATATCTCGAAGGTTCGACGAATCCAAGCCGAATGATAAGTAGCGCTCAGATGTTTTTTGCAATAATTTCGAGTCTGTATCAATAATTACTACGAAATTTTTTGATAAATGGTGACTGCGGCCGACATTCCATAGTGATATTACAAAAAGGATTAAAAATATGCCGACGACAATTGATCCGATAATTGATTTTGCAGCTTCTGTAATTTTTTTTTTCAATAATTAATTACAAAGAAAAGATTAATTTTTTATAAAAGGTAGATCATAATTTTATTAAAAATAAATTTGACATTTAAATTAATAATAATTTTTTATGCAAATAAATTTTTGTAAAAAATTTTACTGGTAAAACTAAAAAAAAATATTTTAGTGCTAATTTTAATTGATTTTAATTTTTAAAAAATAATTAAATGTCTACTGATGATTTTAGTATAATTAAATAAATTTTTATGCTTGCAAATAATTAAATATTTAAACTTACGCTCATTTTCTTTCCGACCAAGAGTATGATACTCATTTTTATTCCAAATATTATTTTCAAAATACGACATTTTTTACTATATAACTTTATTTAACAATCGTGTAAATATTTTTCCAATATTTGCCGATAAAAAAAACGCCGTATCAATACACCAGCAGTTTAGCATTTATTCAATCATCATAATAAATTGCTATCATCAAAAACAAATGATTAAGCCGCTTAAATATATAAAATACATATATATTAGTGGTGGGGGACTAATTGACTGCAGCGCTCTGAAAAAAAAAAAATCAAATTAAAATTATTACAAACAAATTTTGATAATTTATGAATTATAACTTTACCTGTCACTTAAAATAAAATATTTTGATGATTTATCAGCTGAATTTCTGCATAGTTAATTTTTTATACTCAGCGCATTTTAAATTAAAGTAAAAAACTACTTTTTTAATCAGTTTCTTTTTATTTTCATTCGCAGAAATTCGTTTGTAATGATACTGAGAAAATGAGAATAGAGAAGCGATATGTATGAAGGATAGATTTTTATCTGAACAAACATGGGAGACATCTTCAGGTGACTTTAGTCACGTAGCCGAGATTTTTGATTTTTTAATTTTGTTTTATTTATTAAAAATTAAAATAAGAACTAAGAAATATATTTTTTTAAATTGCATTTACAGTTTTTCAATTTTTTTTACAAATAAAAATTTTTTTTCTATTTTTTTGCATTTATTTTTTTAAATAAAAAATTAATAAAAATGTCTAAATGTCGGCTAACTTTATTTTCATAAATTAATAATGAAAATTGCAGATATTTAATAATTTTTAGAATTTTTCTAAGAAATAAATTAATGAAAATTAATTTAGCAGATATTTTATAATTTTAAGAATTTTTTTAATAAATAAATTAAGTCAAAGAAAATAAGAAAAAAAAATTGACATTTAGAAAATTAAAAAAATAAAAAATCAAATTTTTTTACAAATAATATTTTTCGGAGCAAAGTTATTTATTGAAAAAAATTAAAAAATGGTCATGTGACTGCTAACTTTAATGTCATAATAAATTATGACAAAAAAAATTGACATGTAGAAATTAAAAAAAATTAAAAATTCCATTTTTTAAAACAAATTTATTAAATAAAATTCATAAAAAAAAATAGTGAAGTGCCAGCTAACTTTAATGAAAATTAATTAAGCAGATATTTGATAACTTTAAAAATTATTTTAACAACTAAATTGTTGAAAATAATAAAATTAGCCATTTTTAATTTTTTGATTTTACTTTATTTATTAAATTAGAACTCTAAAAAATGCTTTTTTAAAATTGCACTTACAATTTCTTAAATTTATTCTAAATGTCAAATTTTTTTTTTTAATTGTTTGTAATAATTTTTAGATGTTAGCTAAGTTGATTTTCATTAAATTGTGGCAAAAAAAAAATTGACATGTAGAAATTTAAAAACATAAAAAATGTAATTTTTTAAAAATCATTTTTTAGAATAAATTTGTTCATTAAAAAAAAAATGATCAAGTGACAGCTGACTTTAATGAAAATTAATTTAATAATTTTAAGAATTATTTTAATAAATAAATTGTGGCAAAAAAAATTGACATGTAAAAATTTAAAATGCAATTTTTTTTAAATAATTTCTTGGAACAAATTTGTTTATAAAAAATAAAAAAAATTGCAAAGTGACAGCTAAATTTAATGTCATGTGTAATAAAAAAAACAGCGCCTCTTGCGGATGAAAAAAGAACTAATTTTAAAAACAAAAGCTTACCGACTGAAGCTGAAGTAAACTACTGTCCAGCGAAGAGAGCAGAATGAATCACACAAGAAAACAGAGCTGTATGTAATGGCTGATCAAAGGCAAGCTGTCAAAGCCTGCTGAATTTATTTGTGATATTAAAAATTAATTTTATTTTGAATTTTTAGTGAGTCATATTATTTTTTTTAGCCGTTCTGTTTGAGTATGTGTTAAATAAACGTGCATTATGTAGATAAAGGTAGTTATCACTCGTTGCAGTGATAAATTTGGCTCTTCGAGTGCATTGTGATCAGTATTTATTAATATACATATATATATATACATACATAGCAATAGGTATACAGATATATAGATAGACACAGTATATATACAGGGAGATTGAAGATAAAAAGGACGTGAATCATGTATTCCCATCATCATCATCATCACCATCATCATCACCACAGAAGACGAGCTAATAATTTCACATACGTGAGCTCCTGTGTTAAATATATGATTTTTATGCTCAACTTTATCTTCTGGGTAAATAATATTTTCTATTATTGACTTATTATATTCTTTTGTTTACTATGGATTATTTTAATGAGATTTTTTTCCACTTGACAACAGCTTTTCGGAGGATTGTTGATCGGAGTAGGAATCTATGCGTTTTACGACAAATTGCAAACCACTGGGACTATTAAAGTCGAAAATGTTTATGATATTGTTCTTAATATCTCACTTGTGATGGCTATTGCTGGCGGAGTTGTGTTTATTGTTAGTTTTGCTGGCTGTGTTGGTGCATTGAGAGAGAATACATGTCTTCTTAAATTTGTAAGTGTTTTATTTTAAATATATTTTAAATGAAAATCAAGTTAGCTGACATTTAATATCACATGTTAGCTGACAAAAAATATCACATGTTAAAAACTTGAAAAACTATAAGTGCAATTTTTTAGAAATATCTTTTTATTTGTAATTTGATTAAAAAAAAAAAAAAATCAAAATTTTTAGACGTCTGCTAACTTCAGTGTCATATATTTTAAACACACCAAAATTATATTAAAGTTAGCCGTCATTTGATCATTTTTTAATTTTATTTAACAATAAGATTTATTCCAAAAAATTATTTTAAAAAAATTGCATTTTTTTTAATTTCTAAATGTCAATTTTTTTTCTTAGTTTTTTTTTGCCATAATTTATTTGTTATAAAATTTTTAAAAATATTAAATATGTCATATTTTTATCACACCTGACAGCTACAATTTATTCATTTAAATGTCAATAATGCATAAGTGATTTATAAAATAATAAATTAATAAATTGCCTGTCGGGTATCAGCTGTTTTTATTATAAATTATCTTATGTATAAATTCCGGGTTAATGTAATTATCGGAGAAAATTTTTATTTTTAAATCTGGTTACTGACTCAGTAATTGGATATAAGGTAGACAGTGCCGTTAAATCTCTAGATTATAAATTAAAATTGAGTTTAATAGATTTAATTCTTGCATAATATTTTATTTAATAAACTTTTTTTTTTTTTTTATTGATATTTATTTATAATTAATGTTTTTCAGTACTCGTGGTGTCTACTGGCATTTTTCTTGCTTGAAATGGGAATAGCGATAGTTGGTTTTGTATTTCCTCATACATTGCAAGCTGTTCTTGAAGAATCATTCACTGATAAAATAATCCAGACATATAGAGAGGATCCAGACTTGCAAAATTTAATTGATTTTGGTCAACAAGAAGTAAGTAAATTATTAAAAAAAAAAAAAAGCTCATCCCGATGTTATCTTCATCAAGAGCTTTCATTTGAGTACCCACATGCATTTTTGATATATTTTTCATATATACATATATGTAATATATATAAATATATAAAATATATAAAAAATTGATGTGGGTATTCAAATGAAAGGTCTTAATGAGTGTAAAGTCAGGATGAGCTTAAATCTTTAAAAATGTCAATAGTTCACGAGATACAAAGTCATTTCTTATTTCACTTATTCTCTTAATAATATAGATTAAATTTGTTTGTAATTATTATTTTTAAAAATTGCATTTTTTTATTTAAAATTCTACATGTCAATTTTTTTTTCCCTAATTTATTTGTAAAAAAATTTTTTAAATTATCAAATATCTTCTTAATTAATCTTCATAAAAAAATGACATTAAATTCAACAGTCACTTGGCTATTTTTGAATTTAATTTTACCAATTAAATTTATTTAAAAATATTATTTTTAAAATTCTACTTTAATTTTTTTATAATTTATTTATAAAAAAATTCTAAAATTAATTTTCATAAAAAGCAAATAAACCTTGATAGTCTTTATCAGTGTCAATAATTACTTAGCAAACATAATAAACACAAAAGCTTTAGCTCGTAAACTAATTTAATTGCAATAACGAGTGACTTATCAAAGATTAATGTTATTTGTAAAATAAAATAAAATAAACTAATCTAATCAACTGTTACAGTTTAAATGCTGCGGTCTGAGCCAGGAGGGATACTTGGACTGGCAAAAAAACGAGTACTTTAATTGCTCGAGTCCCGGGCGAGAAAGCTGTGGTGTGCCGTTTTCATGTTGTATCAACACTACGGATATATCAAGCGGATTAGTAAATATAATGTGCGGCTATCAAATTCAGACGCTGCCATCCTCGGAGGCGAGTAAGAGAATATGGATAAGCGGATGCATTGAAATAGTTAGGACATGGGCTGAGCGTAATCTCTATACAATAGCGGGGATTGCTCTCGGTATCGCGTTAAGTCAATTGTTTGTGATTTATTTAGCTAAAACATTAGAAGGACAAATTGAGATGCAAAGAGCACGCTGGCGTTCTTGAGGTTGACCTCAGGCCACCTCTCGATACGATTTTGCCTCGAGGCATCAGGTGGCCGGTCGATCAAATCGTGGTCAAGAGCATTCTGAAAGCTGTGGAAGTACTCGGATGGGAATGCTTGTCTTACTTGCGGTAATACTTTACATAATGTGCATTTTATCACTTGTAAGACTCTCCCTCTACTTCAAAAATTATTTTTACAAGTATCTTGATTATGGTTAAGTAACTGAATTAATTATCATATATATTTAAATTTAAGTTTTTAGATTAATAGAATTTTGTCCTTTATTGATATGATAATTTTATCTTCTATTCGCTCTTTAAATGAATACTAGGGTGGCGCAAAAAAAACCGACTATTTTTTTTTTTTTGAGTCTCGAGTAAAAAAATGTTAGTTTTTGATGTTTTAAGAACCCTCTTCAAATAACAGCTCGAAAAAAAATTTTTAAGAGGTCGCTCAAAATTTTTTTAAATTTCAAAAATCGAGATTTTTTTTTTAAATTTTTTTTCTCGTTACGTCATAATTTTATAGACCAAAAAAAAATAAGTTCTTGAAAGTTTCAATTCAAAATTTAAATTTTAAAAGGTCGCTCATAATTTTTTTTTAAATTTCCGAGTCAAAAAATGCTAATCCAATTAAATAGTCACTAATAAATTAAAAAACAATTATGAGCGACCTTTTAAAATTCACATTTTGAACTGAAATTTTCAGGAGAACCTTTTTTTTTAGTCGATAAAATTATGACGTAACGAGAAAAAAAAATTAAATAAAAAAATTTCGATTTTTGAAATTAAAAAAAATTTAGAGCGACCTCTTAAATTTTTTTTTTTTAAGCGAGACAAAAAAAAAATAGTCGGTTTTTTTGCGCCACCCTAATAAATACGTTATAAAAAGGTTTATTAAACAAACTATTTTAATGTTTTTTAAAAAAAAAAAATATTATATTATATTATATTATATAGAAATTTATTGACACTAATGTCGTGATTATTTATCAATGTTTTTTATATTTTTGTCTATGCCGTTTAAATTTATTCTGCGTGTCTAACGTACAATTTAACTGCCATTATATTGAATAATTGCTTGTAAGTTTATTAAATGAACAAAAAAAAAAATATTTAAAATTGTTCTTTCTGTTATTATTTAGAAAGGACTAAAATTATACAAATGTAAATGTAAATGTTTAAACAGACAATTTTATTAATTAATTAATTAATTAATTAACAATAATTATTATACTCAATGAATTGATAATAATGTAAACGCCATCGTAATTGTATTTTGTCCGAGTGAATGTTTTATTGTAATCACGCACATTGCTGTTGTGAGATTGATACATTGAAGTAATTACTTTGGTTAATTTAATTGCATTTAAAGTAAACATTGGATGGACTGTGAAAAATATTAAAATGATTATTTTAAACGTTTGAAGAATGCGCCGACCGAAATTGACCAATTTCTAAGATATAATATCAGATTTATTTTTGTTAAAGTAACTGAATAGGAATATTCGTCTCAGGAGGAATATAAGTAATACAATTTAAAGAACAAATTGTCGATCATAATTATAATAACACTAATATTAACTATAATTATAATATTAATATTAATATTAATTATTATATGATACTGTCGTGCTCTAGTGCTTAATGCACAGTAGTACACTCAAGTATAAGTAAAACATGACTTGTACATAAATTTAAATTTATATCATCTCGATATACTAGTTACTAAACGTATATATTAATATAAAAAAAAAAAAAAAAGAAAAGTAATTTTGCCAATGATCAAATCTACGAACAAAAATTTAAATTTAAGTTTTTTTTATTAATTTTTTTTTCTCTGAATCTCTTTCCAATGAAACTCTAGACTTAAAATCTTTTTTTAAGATTTTTATTTTAAATCGAATTTCTTTCCATTAAATCTCAAAAATATTTTAATTATATAGACTGACTTTTAGACGTCCAGTGCCAAAATCTCATTAAAATAATCTTCATTCCATTTTTAAAAAAATTAAATTAATTTTTTTTTTTTAATTTACCATTTTTGACAATAAATTTATTATTTAAAAATGTTTTAAATAAAAGTAGACGTGAAAAATAATTGGCATATTTTTTAATACTCAGTGATATGTATGAAAATTAATGACTAAATAAATAAATAAAAAAATTACTATTAGATAAATCACGGATTAGTAACACATATAGTTAATAAATAGTTTTTATTACATGATCATATTGTTGTAAAGTGACTTTGTCACAACAGTAAATAAATAATCGTATACCTATACTTGAAGTAACTTTTATTTACCATCAATCATTGTTATTATTTTTAATAAAATAGCTAATAAAATTTAAAGTTTAAATCCACTCAGTAAAATTGAAACCAATTACACAGAGTACATAACTATTAAACGGTCAAACAAACGTCGAATCAACGCATTGGCTTTGTCTGAAGAATTCATCTGAGCCTTCAGCAATTATTTCACGATACTCAATAATTTATCGCTATCACGGGCTCGTATTATCGTAACGGTAACTAAACCTTACAATATTTACTCTACAAATAATTATCTCGTTATAAATCTATCAGGATTGTTAATTTTTATTTTTTTATACATTAACCGGATATAAAAAAATTATTTATTGTAAGATAGTACCGGTTAGTTTTATTTCTTCAAGCGAGTGACATAATTTGTTTATCAATAAAACATTATTTGTTTTATTGTAACTTATAGCAATTTTATTTATAATTCAATTGATACACTACTTACTGTTAAATTAAATTATTTTATTACTTTTATTTATTTTTTAAGTACGAGCCAATTTCTCAGTTTAATTTAAACGTTTTTTCTTCATATTAATCTATATTACTAAGAGAATAAGCTAAATTTTGGGGCCAGTGTATTTATACGATAAAATAGATTTTTATAGGCTGCATTCAAAAATGCTCTATATCTCTAGATAGATAATTAAGAAATTAATTACCTTGTATCTTGTGAACTATTGACATTTTTGAAGATATAAGCTCATTCCGATGTCACACTCATCAAGACCTTTCATTTGAATACCCACATCAATTTTTCATATATTTTATATATTTATATATATTACATATATGTATATATGAAAAATATACCAAAAATGCATATGGGTACTCAAATGAAAGCTCTTGAACAGTATAACATCGGGATGAGCTTATATCTTAAAAAATGTCAATAATTAAGAAATGACCTTGTATCTTGCGAAATATTGACATTTTTAAAGATATAAGCTCATCCCGACATTACACTCATCGAGACCTTTCATTAGAGTACCCCCATCAATTTTTCATATATTTTATATATTTATATATATTGCATATATGTATATATGAAAAGTATATCAAAAATGCATGTGGGTACTCAAATGAAAGCTCCTGATAAGTGTAACATCGGGATGAGCTTATATCTTTAAAAAAGTCAATATTCAAGAAAGTACAGTGCAATTTAACCAAATTCATTATTTAATAAAGCAAATTTTATTTATTTATAGTTTAGTCACGGCAGTGACATAGTGACTGCAAGGTTGCTAGTTTTTTATGATTCTAAAAAATAGATGACATAAGTATCAAAAAAAAAGAAAAAAAAAACTAATCATATATTCTAGAAACAGCTTGTATCAATTTAAAATACATTTATAAATATCTTATTAATTAAATAAATTATTAAAATACACGGACAGATTATTTAATCCCCATTCGAATTCCATTTGGACATGATTTACGTACTTACCTCGACAGAAACGAGGGATCTATACACGGAGTTTTCGATACCTGCATCGCCGGTACGGTGATTCGGTGAATGATTGATTGAGCTTGCGCCGTAGAATGTCCTAATCGTCTGTGATCGGCAGTGGTATCTCATTAAAAAAAACGCTCACTATTTCTTCTTATTTAACCATTTTATCTTCATCTCCATCTTTATCTCGAAAATCGACGGCAGACACGTCGATTCCATCACCTGGACACAAATAATACAAATTAACTTATATTTTTACTATTACTGAGACTTTAATTATTGATTAGCTCAACTCACCGGTAAATTATCCTCCAATTATACCTGATTGATGAGAGAGCTGAATTTATAATCGATAAAACTTGTCCAAATTTTAACACAGTAATTACGCCCGTGGCTCACCAAATTACAGCGCCAATATAACATAATATGTTTTTTACATTATTTATACTCTTACTTATAAATTTTAAATTATAAAAAAAAAATTATTAATAGCAACAATTAAATAAAATGAAGGATATATCTGAATAAATATAAACTGTCATTTTTACAACAAATTACAAAAATAAAAAAAAATTTTTTTTTTTTAAATTACAGCAATTACTTTCTGACAAATCTACAAGTGGTTTTTTTTTATAATAACACTGAAGTTAACTGACAGAAATTTTTTTATAATTTTAGAGTAATTAAATCATTATGAAAAAAATTTTATTAAAAAATTACACTTGTGAAGATTAAAAAGAATTATTAGTGGAAATTTTTTTATTGTTAAATTATTTGTTATAAAAATTTAAAAAATTGACAATTGTCAACTAACTTCAGTATTATTCTTTAATAATAATTTATTTGTTGAAAAAATATTATAGAAATCATCATATGTCAGCTGACTTCAATATCATGAATAAATATGATACTAAAATTAAAAGACATCTGTAATTTTTTTGGATTTTTATATCTAAATTAATATGAAAAAATTTTAATGAAGAATTTCCATATTTCGAAATTAAAAAAAAAATTAAATTTTTATAATAGTGAAGTTAGCTGACATCTGATGTTTTTTAGGATTTTTTTCAACAAATAATTTATAACAATAAAAAATTTCACTTGTAGATGTCAAAAAAAATTTATTATTGCCTTTTTTTTTTTATTAAAAATTAAGTTAGCCGATATTTAAAAATTAAAAAAATTGTTTTTATTGAAAAACTGACTAGAAAAAAAAAAAGAAAA